GACATCAGATGTAGTTGAAGTAGTTGACATCTGATGTACCTGAGGTATGACAGCAGATGTAGCTGAAGTAGGACATCTGATGTACCTTAGGTATGACATCAGATGTGGTTGAAGTAGGACATCTGATGTACTCGAAGTATGACATCAGATGTAGCTGAAGTAGGACATCTGATGTACCTTAGGTATGACATCAGATGTGGTTGAAGTAGGACATCTGATGTACTCGAAGTATGGCATTAGATGTAGTTGACATCTGATGTACCTCAGATGTAGCTGAAGTAGGACATCTGATGTACCTTAGGTATGACATCAGATGTAGTTGAAGTAGGACATCTGATGTACTCGAAGTATGACATCAGATGTAGTTGACATCTGATGTACTCGAAGTATGACATCAGATGTAGTTGACATCTGATGTACCTGAGGTATGACATCAGATGTAGCTGAAGCATGACATCTGATGTACCTGAGGTATGACATCAGATGTAGTTGAAGTAGGACATCTGATGTACTCGAAGTATGACATCAGTTGTAGTTGACATCTGATGTACCTGAGGTATGACAGCAGATGTAGCTGAAGTAGGACATCTCATGTACCTTAGGTATGACATCAGATGTGGTTGAAGTAGGACATCTGATGTACTCGAAGTATGACATCAGTTGTAGCTGAAGTAGGACATCTGAATGGCCTAGTCAATCATATGTCGAATATCCTCTTTGGTTATCTGAACCATGTGAGGTGGAGCTGGTTGATGAGGGTCTTGCTGAAGGTTTCGAAGTGGATCTCGAGCGCGACCTCAAGTGTCATCTCGAAGATTGCCTCGAGGATCATCACGAGGGGGTCTAGAAGGGGATCTCGGTCACGACGTCAGGTGACGTCCTGAGACATGTCAAACCTGAACCTGCACGTGGCAAGTTGGTTGTTGTTCTGAGGTTGTGCTATGGGTGGAGCCACAGGAGGAGCGCTGGTTTCCGTTGTGGCGATGCGTTGTGCTACTGCTTCAGTAGCAACGCGGGAAGATGCTTCCGTAATCATAAGTTGAAGGGCCTTCTCGGTTATCTGAACCGTTAGAGGAGCAAGTAGAAGTTGATGACCCATGGCGAATGAAATGTTTTGGGGGCACTGTGAACCCCCAGGGAGTCGATAACCCTTGGCGAACGAAATATTTTAGGGGCAGATGTAAGCCCCCAGGGAGTCGATAACCCTTGGCGAACGAAATATTTTGGGGGCGATGTAAGCCCCCAGGGAGTCGATAACCCTTGGCGAACGAAATGTTTTGGGGGCACTGTATACCCCCAGGGAGTTGATAACCCTTGGCGAGCGAAATATTTTGGGAGCAGATGTAAGCCCCCAGGGAGTCGATGGCGGTGGTGCCATAGGTGGCTCCACATGTGGAGCAGGTGCTGGTATCGCGTTGGGAGCATTTGCTCCCATCGTGGCGATATATTGGGTCTCGGCCTCTGTGGCAGCGCGAGTTGAAGCTTCTGCTATCATGCGTTGAAGCGCATCCTCGGTTATTTGAACCATTCGAGGAGCAGGGAGTGGTGGATCGGCGAGTGGTGGGTCCCGAGGGGGGATCACCTGAACCTCGCGAGGCGGATCCATGGGATGTGGAGGAGGTGGCAAGCCAGAGCCTCCACAAGGTGGGAGGTCGTTAGCTGTGTCATTTTCTCTCCGAGCAGACGTCTCAGGAGGATCTTGTTGGCTACGTGATCTGGTTTGCATCGTTCCCACAGACGGCGCCAAAATGATGATGCTAAAATGTAGATCACCTGGGGTAGTGTAGAAAATGAACTGGGAGAGCAAAGCAGATCAGTAGCTTGACAACTTGATGATCCTGAGGTACCTGCGATCATAGAACACATGAACTAAGCCGGGGGTTGATCCGGCGGAAACCCCTCCGACGCTCAAGTCAGACGTGCTGATCATAGAAATAGTCCAGAGAATACAGTTGATAGTATTGCTCAGTTAATAGGACGTACCTTGAGGAATGATTTCAAACCTTTATTTATATCTTAGTTGAGATTGTCGGGCCCGAACCTTACTTGAAGGTGATTGGGCCTCGGTGATAATGGTCTTCGATATTGGGCTCGTGGCCCGGTAGGTAAATAAATTGTAGGCCCATTGGGTTGACCCAATTAGGCATATCAATATATATCACTACTAGAAAAATCGCTTATTATGACGCTGCAATGCATCATAAAAAGTTACATATTGAGACGCTTGATCTATTGCGACGCCACACAAAAGCGTCACATAGGTGGCCGTGGTAATAGGTTATTGTGACGGTTGTCAAGCGTCCTAAAACATTATCAGTTGTGACGGTGCTCCGCGTCTTAAAAATATCTATTTTGCGGCAGAATTTGGTGTCACGATATGATTCTTAACTATCTTAATTGCTTGAATACGTGACATTCTAAAGCGTCACAAGAGATATTTTTATGACCAATAGAGCTGTCACAAAAAGTTTTTTATAGTAACACATCCTCGTGTCTCTGAAATGAAGAAATGAAGATTTCTTGTTATTACTTGTCAAGTTAAATAATTTATTGCAAGACCACTTTTAATATAAGACCAGACAAGTTAAACTGTGACAGTAACAAATCTTTATGATAAAATTTATTGTCATAGTTTCAAACAAAAAAAAAAAAGTACAATATAAATATCATTCCCCAATTTTGTATCCAACCGACGATATCAATACCGATTAAAGTTCATTTTCCATAAATCAATCATCTGAGAAGGAACTATCTTGAAGAAAATTATCATAACTTGTATCAACCCATCACGATATGAAAATCCATGTCCACATTATTCTCCATCCATAGAAACCTATTAAGACAATTGTATAAAAAATTAGTTGATCAATCAAAATGATTCTTGAATAAATGCATTTATATCAAAATATAATAGATTATTGTTGTTACTCTATACAATTGTATAACAATATTAAGAGTAACTAGTACTTCACTTTCCAAACTAGTTGCACCACATTCCATCTTTTTCATCAACATAACATATATGCATTCCAACAAATCATAATCCATATGTTAGTCCACGTTAACCAATTTCCGAGTTTTTGTTAAAGGTATAACTAAATTTTGGCCACCTATACTATAATCTGAAAATGGCAAAGTAGAACCATTAAAACAACAAATCATCAACAAGTCTATCTATAAGGGATTAAGTTCCCAAAACTTTACCCGTAACTGAAGACTGGAACCTCCAACATTGAGGGATCCTGCTAAAGTATCGTACAAGGAATATTGATCATCGGTATCTACGATCGAAGCGAGCAGTTAATAAACCATTATTGTTGAAACCAGATTGATACAATTATTCAAAATAACATTCAAGAAAAGAATATCTAGTGTAGCATTTTTCTTTGTAGTAAAACTATTTACCAGTAATTTAGAAATTTTTACTTGTTGCAGGCATCAATGAAGTGACTTCCTAAAAGAAGTGCATAGGGAGGCATGAACTGCAGCCAAACAAAATCAAGCAGCTTAGAGAAACAGAGCTCAAAACAGAATATTATGTAATAGGAAAAATCATCTTGCCATTAGTAAAACATTGGACAATCCATATTATTTATATTGTCAGAATAAAAATTTAAAAAGTCAGATCATGAATAATGTTGAGGTACCCATACTATTGAGGCCATATGGCTCCATTATATACAATATTGTTCTTACCTTAACAAAAAGGAAGAGCTCATCAGTACAAAGCATAATTTTGATTTAGGTATATTAGTAGATCATATTCATATGGATATTAATAAAAGCCTCCAAGTAAACAATTCAAATATGAGAAAAAATTAGTTGAAACACCATACCACTGAATAAAGGGAGAATGATGAGGACGAACCTCAACTTCAACTCAGAAAAGAAAATCCCCTTTCATTACTTCTATCTAACAACTAAATAATAAATAAGCATCTGCAATTACTTTCCGAAATAATAAAGACGAACCTCAATTTCAACTCATAAAAGAAAATCCCTTTTAATTACTTCAATCTAAAAAACTGAAAATCAAGTATGAATACAAATATGGAATTAGTTTCCCAGATTGATTAGCATAAAAAGTAAAATGAACAAAACCCATTAAATTGTACCTATAATTACATGTAGAAGATCGGTTTTAGGTCTTCATCATCGGATTGGAGCCTGTTATTGCGTAAAAAAAGAGAGGCAATTGTTAAGTGTGGCAGATCTCCTTCATATAGGTAAACCCTATTATAAGCCAAACACAAAAATCTGTGTTTGAAATTCTTAATTGAAATCCAAGAAATAAAGCAAAAGGGAGATAAATGAAATGAATACCCTCCAGTGTTGAGCCTTGTCTAGTTTTAATGTATTTATCAAACTAAGAGAAACTAATCAAGTGAAAGAAACGAAGGGAACTTACCTGGTGGCTGGTATGAAAGATTGACTCCGCAAGAATTAGGGTAGTGCAAATAAGGATTTGGAGAAAATTAATATAACATTAAAAGTTAAGGAATCATGTGAGCGGGAAAATGAAATGTTTTCTAAATTATTTTGTACTTTTTGGGCGCAAAATTTTCATTTCCGATGACATTTTAAGACGATCTACAAATATTATTCCAAAAAGCGTCATATAATGTAATTTTTTAGAATTAGAAAATACGTGCAAAGAAAACACACGGCGAATGAATTGCTTTTATTTCAAGGCGTCTTAATAGAATGGCTGTTGTGACGATTTTTGAAAGCTGTCATATTAAGGCGTCATTAAGGCGTCACGAAAAACTAATTTTCTAGTAGTATATATATATATATATATATATATATATATATATATATATATATATATATATATATATATAGAGATATATATAGATATATATAGAGATATAGATATATAGAGATATATATATGGATATATATATAAAGATATATATATATATATATATATCTAGATCTATATTGGAAAAGCAAGAGCGCGAGAGAGAGAGAGAGAGAGAGAGATAGAGAGAGTCAATATCAAGAAGAAGAAAAATAATATCTTCACCATCTTTGAGGTTTGTGTGTGTGCGACTGTGATTGTGTGTGTCTTTGTATATATATATATATATATATATATATATATATATATATATATATATATATATATATATATATCATACTTATATATATTAATGTCACATTTTATTTTATTGATATTTTAGGTGAATAAGAATCCAAGCCTAGATGCTCTGCTCTCGGATATTTGCTTAGGAACGTCAGCTGCGCCAACTTATTTGCCTGCACATTACTTTAAAACAAAAGATTCAAATGGGGAAACTACGAAACACAACCAGATTGATGGCGGTATAGCTGCTAATGATCCGGTAAATATCTTAAGACTTTCCATATAATTTTTTAGATTTTTTCTATGCATGTTGAAATTCAAGAACATATAAATAATATATTTTTTTTCTCGGTTACCTTTGCAGAGCTTAATTGCAATAGGTGAAATAAGAAAGAAGAAGAAAAAAGGGAAGCTTCTGGTTTTGTCTCTCGGAACTGGTTCAGCACCGATTCGTAGATATGATGCCAAGAAAGCATCTAAGTGGAGTAGTATAAGATGGTTGAAAAATCGCAAGTCGAAACCCTTGCTCGATGCAGCTTGTCGAGCTATACAAGACATTACTGACCTATACAGTTCTGTTTTTGCTGAAGACGTTTACTCTAGTGGAAATTTTCTGAGAATCCAGGTACGCAAAAATCAAATATTTCAATCTATTCACTCACATATAATATATAATTCAAACCTGTTTAAAGTGGATTAATAATAAATAAATATAATTTCCAGGACGAGACTTTAGTCGGTGCAACATCGTCTGTGGACATTGCCACAGAAGAATTTGAAGGATCTCGTCAAAGTTGGAGAGAAGTTGCTGAAGAAGCCAATTTCAACACCGAACTTGCACACTCAAGAGTATGTTCCCTCTACTCAAGAAACAAACGAGGAGGCACTTATTAGGTTAGCAAGAATACTTTCCAAAGAGAAGCGGTTACGGTTACGTGGGGATAATCTTGCCAAGACAAAAGAATCGTCAGATTCGACCAAGCAGCTCCAACATTCGGGGATACATTATATTTTCTTCTTTTCTTGTCTTTTTTCTTTTCTTTTTTTCCTTCTTGTTCTTGGGAAGTTCTCTATTTGTGTTCCTCTATAAATATTTTCACTATTCAATAAAATTTATTTTTCTAGTTCTATATATGTCCAATTTTCTTTTACAGTTCCATCTAATTTAACTCTGTAAGTGATTCAATAATATTCGCAAGACTTATACGTGTTAATTCTAATCAACTCTGTAAGAGACAGATATATGATCATTAGAGACTAAGATGCTGAATCGAATCAAAATTCATACATGCTAATATATATAACGATAATTGCAAATTAAATAATTAATCACCTTGATGTGAAGTTTGATCTGCTTTAGATCGATGCTTTCAATTTCTCTAGTTGGTTGCTCTTGTCGGCGCATTTTGAGCTCCGACACCTTTTCCCTCGCTTCATGAACCTCCCTGAGAAAGGAATCAATAAACCAAATAAAAATTAGTTTCACATGCATGATATCACAACAGAAGAGTCGATTCAATGGCTTTCAAATACAAATACATATATATGAATATGGCATCTTCTAAAGGAAAATTCCCACACAAGCCAACCAGATATAGATAATACGTTCATCTTATTTCTAATCGGTTTTTCTTTTTTCCAACGATTCTGGTAGCAGAGTCTCCCCAAGTAAAAACTATCTTCTTCGTCAGAAAGTTCTCCCCTCACAAGTTTTTCATATAATTCTGCTTTCCTTTCCAACTTGCATAGCTTGAATTATAATTTTGCGTATTCAGTACGTCGGTATTGATGTTGTAACATTTGAAATAATTGGACGGAGTTGCCCTTTGTTGACTTCTTTTCAGCTGTACAACCGCTGTTCCTTTAATTTTGACTTGGACGAAAAGTTTTTAGCAATTTCTGGAAACATGCGGAGATTGCGCAACCTGGAAATACACGGAACCAAAATGACATGTTACGGGCTGAAGTGCATCGTGAATGGCTGTCCACATTTAGATGAAGTGTCGTTATATTGATCGTACTATTTGTGGATGTAGGAATTGAATGTGCGACGTTTTTCGACGTTAATTTTTTTAGTGACCTTTATTTGTATATGTGGAAGGAAAATGTTTGTGGCAATTAGTGTATACCTAGATTCTGATCTTTATTATCCTTGTTGCTTAAATAATTTTATATTTCTGTGTAATTTATATTTTCTGGTTTACCTGTTTTGTACTGCTGAAACTTTATAATGTCTTTTTCCCTTTTTTTTATTTAATTTTATTTTTTAATTTGTTCTATATATTTAAAAAATAAAAATGATTTTTGTTTTAATTTTAGGTATTTCTGTAGCTATTTTTAATTTTGTTTTTTTTAGAGTCGACTATAAATTTATCATAAACTACTAGAATGTTGTTATGTACAGGAATAGGTTCACGAAAATATCGAAGTAAGCAACAAAATCTAGTTAGGTGGTGTTTGCAAATGCTTTTTGAAAGTGATTGTGCGGTTTTTTTTGCTCATAATCTGTTTTTAGGTGTTTGCAAAATCAACTTTTGTTTTTGCTTCTCTTAAAATAATCTGCTTTAAGCTATTTTTTTTAAAAGCACCCCTAACCCTGCTTTTTCAATTTTAGTTCATTTTCCGAAATATTTGCAAACACCCCCAACTTTTAGAAATAAGCACTTAAAACTAACTTAAATCACAATCACTAACTTCTGCTTTTAAATAATCATTTGCAAACACCACCTTAATTAAAGAAATTAACTACAATAGTAATAGTGACGAAAACTACTATGTTGTTGTAAGTAACCCCTACACAATTTCAAGGAACGTACATTAATTACTATTGATTGAACAAAAAAATAACCTCTAAAATGATAAAAATTTGCCCCAGTTCAACACTGAAAAACTCGGTAAGAAGAAACAATGAATTTGAATATAGAGAAAAATGAAGCAAATCATATGGGAAGAAACCCTAAAATGAATAAATAAAAAAAAAAAAAAAAACAAGGGTAAATTACACCTACACCCCTGAAGTATGTTAAAATAATTGTAAGGTCCATGTGATATTTGTAATAACAATAGTCCCTGAAACTTTGTTATAAACTCTAACGGGACAAGGCATAAGATACGTTATTCCGATAGCATTCTGATAGACTATTGGTTTCAATAAGTTGTGACGGCAAAATAAAGTTAAGGGGTGACAACTGACATGGCTACATCAACATTTCTTAAATCATCTTCCTGATCTTTGTTGTCTCCACCACTTTTAGAAACTAATAGTCTTTTAGAACTATATCGAAATAACGTATTCAATGCATTATCCTATTAGACATTCTAATATTTCAAGAGGTGATTGTAATTAACGATACCACATGGATCTTAAAATTATTATACTGTGAGAGAGAGAAGGGAGCAAGGGTTATGAACTTAAGTTATGGCAAGTGGGATGCAGATTGCTATTGGGCTATCTTATCATTTGGGCCACACTCAACAACGTTACAGGAAACCCTAATCTGGCTTATAAACGACTTTTCCAAAATCGAAGCAATGGAAAGCAGGAACTGAACCAATGGCATCGTCTTCAAGTCCGGTGATCGAGGCAGCGGCGCCGCCGTGGGAGAAATTGCCGCCAGAAATAACGGCGGCGATTTTACAAAAGCTTGGGGCAGTGGAGATACTGATGACGGCCGTGAAAGTTTGCCCTACCTGGTGGCGCGTGTCCAAGGAGTACCCTTCTATATGGCGGTGTATTGACATGCAGGATCGTCTCTCTATGTATGAAGACATAGATACTATGTGCCGCCGTGCAGTGGATCTCAGCCAAGGCCAATTAATTGAGTTCAAAATTAACGGTTTCGGTACTGATGATTTGATACTCTATATTTCCCAGAGGTAAATATTTTCCATTGTTTCTAGAAGTTCTGTTTGTATGCTAATTTTTTTTTTTTAAATTACTCCATTGTAGGATAACTCATGAGCTTAATTGTTTGTGTTATAAACAGGTCTAATCAGCTTAAAAGTCTTCAACTAGTTAATTGCTGTAGCATATCGTTTTCATCTGTGGTTGAAGCAATTACTAATTTCCCTCTATTGGAGGAGCTGCATATACAACAACTTGACTGTAGGATCAGTGTGAATGGTATCGAAACTATTGGCATTTCGTGCCCTTTGTTGAAGTCGTTAAGCTTGTGTGATCGAGAAAAGTATTCGATTAGCTTTAACAACCTAGGGCTTTACAATGCTTCAATGATTGAGTGTGATAAGATTGCTGAAGCGATTGCTGTTAACATGCCTCGACTTTGTCAACTTCATCTTATCGGAAATAAGTTAACAGATGTGGGATTGAAGGCCATTCTTTGTGGTTGTCCGAATCTCGTATCACTCGATCTACGAGGGTGTTTCAATGTTTTTGAATGTGCTGATGTGGAACAGTTGTGTTTGGCAAGGATTAAGGATCTTAAGCTTCCCCATGACTCTATGGATGGTTATGATTTCGGCTCTGATGATTCTTATGATTATGATTATGATTATGATTATGATTGTGAGTGTGATGACGATGGTTATTATTTACGTAGTGATTAATTGAGTCGACGAATTGGGGATTCTTTATCCTTATTGTTGGTGAAAATGATTTGATACTCGTATGTAATCGCTTTCTTCTGGTTTGTCAAATTTGTATAAAGTTTAGACGAAAATAAGTGTGTATCTTTGGATTATTCGAAGCTTTACCATCTCGTTCCCCGTATTGATTATTTTGTAATTCGGTTTTAATTTGAACAAATATATTTGGAAGAAAAAATTGAAATAGAAAACTGTGTAATATATCTCCAAACTTGTAAATTAATGTGGCTTTGAAAGAACTCGATCACGGACCAAATGCTCCCCATCACAATGTACACTTGATCCCGTCAATATTCACACACTCCCTGCCCGTTGAAACCTTATTTTTTCGCTTATAAAAAAATGAAAAACCAATTGCTTTGATTTAATGATTAGAATAAGAAACAATTCCTATGGATGTCGTCTTCGAGTTCAGATTTTTACGAGTTTAAATTTGAAATTTACAATTCTGAATTTTACGAAGATTATTATCCGCGACACGAGGATGACTATAACCGTGGATATGGATCTAATTTTGTATGTAAAATTGGGTCTACTTTTGTTAAATCTATCTATATGCATCTTTTATTTTTGTCGGCTTCTTTTGGTTTTGGTCTCGGTTTCGGTTTTGTTAAGCATTTTATCTCTGTTTTTCATAGGATACAAGTCATAAACCTATAGACTATGTTGTAGCACTTAAATGTTCTTTTGATCTCGATTTATTGCTCATAAGATGAACAAGTCTATCATTTTAAATTGACATTATTCAAATCTAATTAGGTAAGGGGCACACGTTTTGTTAGATAAGCAAAAATAGAAAATATAAATAAAAGATTAATTAAAACTTAAACTATACCCCAAGTAACAATATAACCGTGTGTAGACTCTATACCTCCATGAATGTACAACTACGAAACAGTCTCTAATGACAAAGTCAAAATAATTAACAATCCATAAAACTATGACACAAAATGCATATATGCCTTCAATAAGCCCTAAGCTTTGCCCCAATATCAAACTCTTCAAATTCGAGATTCAATGGCGGCGTCGTCTTCGAATTCACCGGAGGCGGAGGCAACACCACCACCGTGGGAGGAATTGCCGCGAGAGATTACGGCGGCGATTTTGCGGAGATTGGGGACGGTGGAGATGGTGACGACGGCGCAGAACGTGTGTACTACCTGGCGGAGCGTGTGCAGAAACCCTTCCATGTGGCAGTGCATTGACATGCGAAGTATTACATATGAAGCGCCTCCCAATTCGGAGATGGTATGCTACGATGCAGTGGATTGGAGCAATGGAGAGTTGACTGATATCCGTATTGACTTCTTTGGTACCGATGATTTGCTTCTCTACATTTCTGAGAGGTAATTAATCATTCAAACTCATAGTTGTGTGTATAAAGAGACTACGACTTCTTTTATTCGAAAGCATACGGTAAATTACAATCACTCTATATGTCTTAACTATGAATCTTCCTACACTTCCACCTTTATTGTGTCAAATTTAACATAATCATTTAGATTTCGTGGAATGTGCTCTAGTTTGTAATCGTTTTATGTAAAAGTACAATTTCTAATGCACCACAATCTGATATATATACAAGCCAAAAAACACATCTTATGATCACCTGGCTTCAAAATGTGGAGCTCGAACGGAATAAAACAGGTACAAAAGTGATAATATTCCATATAATCAAGAAGATTCCATTAAATTTGAAACCGTAAGAGTGGGCATGTAAGAAAATTTATAGTTGAGGGGTTGTTGTTATTACCCAAACAGGAGGGAGTTTTCATAATTTTACCATACATAGGAGTGGTTGTAATTTACCGTACCCTAGAGCATATCACTGATTTAATTATATCCTACCCAATAATGTGCCTTACGATATTAATATTTGTAATTCATATAAAGATGCTTAAGTATTATCTTTTTTTCATATTATCTTTTTAATAGGTCTAGTCAACTCAGAAGTCTACGACTCGTATATTGCACTCACATAACACATGAAGGTATAATGGAAGCTGTAAAATACCTGCCTTTGCTGGAGGAGCTGGTTATACACTGCATATATCTCAGTGCCAAAGCTATTGAGACAATTGGACGATCTTGCCCTTTATTGAAGTCGTTTAATTATAACGGACATTGGTCGAAGTACATGGTTTCGAATCTTGAGGCGCAAGCAATTGCTAAAAACATGCCTGCATTACGACACCTTCAACTTTTCGGGAATAAAATGGGAAACGAGGGCGTGCATGCCATCCTTGAAGGTTGCCCGAATCTTGAATCGCTTGATCTAAGAAAGTGTTTTCATGTTCGTTTAAGTGGAGATTTGGGAAAATTGTGTTCGGAAAGGATTAGAGATCTTAAGCTCCCGAATGAGTCCACTGACGATGTTTATCAATTCGCGGTGACTGGAACTTCGGGGTATGCAACATCCCATTCCGATGATGAAACATCCGATGATGATTATGTGAAGGAAAAAATTACACGGAAACAAAGAAATAGAAAAACAAAGAAACAAAAACAAAAAAAGAACAATAAGAGGATGTTTGACTAAGTTTTTTTAAACATAGTCTGATATGTGAAGTTGTTTTAAGAGCGGATATACCCTGCAATGTTTTTTAAATCATGAGCTTAAAATCGATTTTTTGAATTTGTAAGATATTTCTCAATTCTTGCAATGTCTTGTAATATGAATTTGTTTTGGAATACTAATGTTGAATAAATTCCAAATTTCTGATGAAATGGCATTTTTTGTTTTTTTTATTTATTTTTTATTTTTAGAAGAAAGGGTAGGGTTGGCAGTTGAAAATTGAAATTGAAATACTTGATTCCATTTTTTTGAAGGAAATCAGTAGTACGACACCGTTTTGGGAACCTGCAAGTAGTGAGTAATAATTTTCGCTGACCCAGCAGCTTTTTGACTTGGGGTCTGTAAGCTGTAATAAATTTCTGAATTGGCTTTAAGATGTTGTACCCTCGTTTGATTGTACTCACAATGCGACCCCTTAATAAATAAATAAAAAAATATTTATTTATTTATTTATAGGGGCCTCTTCTATATTATGAGCTATGCCGTTGTCATTTATTGGGCTTTAGGGGGACCTGGGCTACTTCTGCACCTCTACGATCCATTAACAATACCCACAGAATCTATTCATATAGCACCAAATAGCATTAATGTTTTCATTATAAAAATAAAATAAATAATAATAATACATAATAATAATAATAATAATAATAATAATAATAATAATAATAATAATAATAATAATAATAATAATAATAATAATAATAATAATAATAATAATAATAATAATAATAATAATAATAATAATAATAATAATAATAATAATAATAAATAATAATAATAATAATAATAATAATAATAATAATAATAATAATAATAATAATAATAATAATATATTTTGGGTATTGTTTCTAACATGGAAGCTATAATAATATATTTTGGGTATTGTTTCTAACATGGAAGCTTTACTATCTACGTCAACCCCTGAGACAAGCTCAAATTATGCAAATAACTCTCATGTCTACGTAATTACAATCACCCTTACGTCCACTCTTTTGGAGCCAAATTCAACACAATCTCCTATATTTTGTGGAATGTTCTCTAGTTTGTACTCGTTTTGTGCAAAAATACATTTTTTTGTGCACCACAATATATATTTACAAGTCAAGAGACACATCTTATAATCATCTCGTTGCAAAATGTAGAGCTTGAATGAGATAAAATGAGGTACAAGCTGGAGAATATTCTATATAACCTAAAAGATTTCACTAAATTTGACACCGCAAGAATTGATGTATAAGAATATTCATAGTTGATGAAGTGGTTGTAACTACCCAAACATAATAAGTTTTGTTCGTAATTTAATCTTATATCAGGATATTACCGTAATTTACCACAAAACAAATGAAGCATGTGATTTGGTAATTGTTTTTACGAGTTATTTAGTGGACCATATCTATATTATATATAAAACTAAGATACACAATCAAAGTTTTCCAATTGAGGAGATTGAGTCCACATTGTTTAAATAATTTCAAAAAAACCCCACTTACCATAATCATCTACATTATTAATTAATTGATTCACATTATTAGTTTACACAATTTTATCTCTCCTACATGTCAAAATAGTGTCTTTTTATTGGTTAATGAGTTTCCTTTTTTTAATCAATTGTTTGATAGTAAATACGTAAATACATAAATGCACATAATTTTTTTTCTTTTTTATGCACAATATTTATATTAATTGCAAAACAACCCCACTTACAAGAATCACCCATATTATTAATGAAATAATTTGGTTTTCAAATTTTATCTCTCCTACGTGTCAAAATAGTGTCTTTTTATTGGTTAATGAGTTTCATTTTTACAAATAATATTTTGATTAAAAAAACGTATGAGCTATATGCAATATTTATAATTTTCCAATTGAGGAAATTTTATGCACAATATTTATATTAATTGCAAAATAACCCCACTTACAATAATCACCCATATTATTAATGAAATAATTTCACATTATTGGTTTTCAAAATTTATCTCTCCTACATTTCAAAATGGTGTCTTTTTATTGGTTAATGAGTTTCCTTTTTATAAACAATATTTTGATTAAAAAAACGTAGGACTTAAATGCATTTTTTTAATTTCCCAATTGAGGAAATTTTATGCACACTATTATATTAATTGCAAAAAAAAAAAAAAAAAAACTCCATTTACCATAATAACCTATATTATTATTTAATTGATTTCACGTTATCAGTTTTCAAATTTTATCTCTTCTACACGTCAAAATAGTGTCTTTTTATTGGTTAATGAGTTTCCTGTTTTTAATCAATTGTTTCATAATAAAAACGTAAATTCATAAATACACATAATTCTTTTTTGGTTAATGACATTTAATGCACAATATTTATATTAATTGCAAGAAAAACCCCACTTACAATAATCACCCATATTATTAATGAAATAATTTCACATTATTGATTTTCAAATTTTATCTCTCTTCCATATCAAAATAGTGTCTTTTTATTGGTTGAATTTCCTTTATGTGGACATTATTTTGATTAAAAAAACGTAGGACTTCAATGCAATTTCCATAATTTTCACATATTATTACATTTAAATTAATTTAGATAAATCCGGAAATTTATGTCAATTTAAATCAATTATTTTATTTCTTACCTTTATTACATTCCTTAACTCTCCTATAAATTACCATTCAATACATTCACCTTCTTCAACTTTTCCACATACATTTTTTCTGTTTCCGAGATATGGAGAGAATTCTTGAGAAAGAATTCCATTGGAATCACCTACATGCAATGGTATATTTTATTATAGTCCCTTTTATAGTATAATTTTAATTTATTGCTTTATTTTGTATTTGATTTCTTCCTTCAATTCTATTTGCAGCCTTTGAGTAATGCTTTTGTTGAAGCTTCTCGGTTGATAGGATTGTCTACTATCAACCTTCGCTACGAGGACGGCAATCATCTTCAAGTTGTTGTGTGTTCGTGACAAAAACATGGATAGCTGTATGTCATGTTGACTAAAGGTTGGACAGAGTTTTGTTACGCAAATAACATGTTTTGCGACAACACGTACTCTTTTATTTTAACCAATGGGATGATATACTTGAGGTCTGGCTTGGCCCATCATTTTAAATGTTATGATATATGTCCTGGCACTCCTTAAAGCTTTACTAATAATATGAGTTGCATGATTTTCAAATAATTTTGATTTTCATTATTAGGTTTATCTATCATTTATACATTATACAAATATATGTATTCATATAAATCGAATGCATATACTAGCCACATGGAAAGAGCATGGTATTCCATTAACATAATTGTTCGCATCCACAAGAAAACGAGTACCCATAAGATAAACCGAATAAATGTCTAGAAGGGAAAAACTATTATAATATATTACAAAAGAGCCACAAAATTGGGCCAAAAATAGAAATTTGAAAAATATCTAAATAACTAATCTTTACATAGATGTTATATATCCGATACATAGATATGTATTTCTTTTATAATTTGTGAAACTATATATGCATCTAAGCCCATATAATGTTAATATTTATTGTTAAAAACTATGTATTTACTATCCTTATTGTTTTAATAAAAAAAACCCATAATCTATGCAACAATTAAATGTAAAAGTGTAAAATCCTGTATAAAATTATATTTTATTGTTATTGTAATAATGTACAATAAGCAAATCACATATATACATATTTTCACATGTACAATAATGTACAAAATTATATATTGTTTCCATACAATATATGTAAAATGTATTAACCATGTATAAAATACATATGGATATTTTATATATCGGTATATATTTTCGTAGTGTATATTGGATATTTATTTTATATGTATATTTTCACACAATATATATTTTTTTTTCCTTGATATTGATTAATAATGATGAAAATTTTAGAATTATGTATTGGATCTATAATTAATTATAATTAAGAATATAAATCTATTAAAAATCGAAATTTGTGCAAATTATTAATAGTAAGTTGCTTAATTGTATTTCATCACATAGAATGTGAATATTTATTAGAAGACAAATTTTCGTAAATTAATTGTTCTTTCCACATGTTTCCAAAATATTCAAATCAATCATAGAGTAAAATCATTGCCAATGTTCAATTAATAATAAATGTACATATATGTATTATTGTTAAACCATTGGTTACCCAAAACAATAATTTGTAATTAACTTTTTACACAACAATTTTATACTAATGCAAAAACAACCCTCACCCACCCATAGTTGCAATTATTGAAAAGAAACCGACAATACTTATTTAAATACTACATATGCCCATGATGATGATTGTTAATTATTTTTTTGCACATCACAATTTATTAAAATTATAAAACAACCCCCGCCAGAATGATATATATATATATATATATATATATATATATATATATATATATATATATATATATATATATATATATATATATATATATATATATATATATATATATATATATATATATATATATATATCAAAATATGCCTTTCAAGAATAAAATTGTACACTATTAATTGTTTTTATATATACATTTACATGTATATGTTTTCTCACTATATATATGGATATTTATTTTTATAAGGATATTTTCCCACAATATAGATTTTGTTTCATTTATAGTAACTAATATTGATGTAATCTTTTATAACTATGTATCCGATCTATAATTAGTTCTAATTAGGCATATAAATATATTTAAATCAAAATTTGGGCAATTTATTTATAGAAAATTGCTTAATTGTATTTCATTACATGGAATATGAATATTTATTAAATATAATTTACTATAATTTAGAAAATATAAGTTCATTATTATAATTGTATTCCATTTACTATAATTTAGGAACAATTATATCTCACCATCTTTTATATACACGGTTCATTTCAGTGTTAGTCTAAACTGCAGGATAATATTATTCTCACGATACTTCATCATCCGGTCATCGTTCTCTTTGTGTGAA